GCTCATACGGGCTCTGAGGTAAAACCCAAAACCCTATAAGAAACCCTAAACCCTAAATCCGAAGCCCCAACACTGGGCAGCCGGGCCGGATCTTGCGAGCTGCTGGAGCCTCCCGAACTACCCATGGAAGCTTTCCAGAGGGCTTAGGGGTTGAGCGTTTTGGGGTTTGAGGGTTTAGGGTTTAGGGTCTTAGGGGGTTTAGGGTTGAGGGTTTTGGGGGTTTGAGGTTTAGGGGTGGGCCTTGAGAATTCCTTTCAAGGGTTCCAAAAGGCTTCCTTACAGGGTTCCTTAAAGGGGCTCTTCCAGCAATATGCAGGGGAGAGGGTATGTTGGGTGCCTCCGTAGCTACGGTAACTAGCTGCGCTTTGGAGCATGTTGCACCATGATTACCATAAGGAATCTAAGGAACAAGTGCTACCGGACCATCATAACAATATACTGCACAACGGATTTGGGCATGAGGGTCTTGAGGGCAGTGTCCGAAGTTGTTTTCAGTTTCTTCAGGCTTTAAAGCGCGCAACAACGAAGACAAGGATTCTTGGCGGCATCCTGTGGGCTCTATCTTGGGATTTTTCCTGGGGCCTTCCACCAAAGCCCCAAAAGCAGAAGTCTTGTGGTTTAGGGTTTAGGGTTTAGGGTTTAGGGTTTTAGGGTTTAGGGTTTAGGGTTTAGGGTTTAGGGTCTAGGGTCTAGTCGCTTAGAAGCTTAGGGGTTTGTGTTGACGCCTTGGGGTTTCTCTTTGGGGGGGATTTCGGGCTTCAGGGTTTCCGACAGCATCCTAAACCCTAAGCCGTAAACCCCAAACCCCAAACCTCCAAACCCCAAACCCCTAAACCCCAAACCCCTAAACCCTAAACTCTAAGTCCGTAAACCCCTAAGACGTTTGGTAGCTTGACCAACGTAGGATGTTTAGAGCTTTGAATACTGGTCGTTCCGAAATCTTCCCTAAACCCTAACCCTAAACCCTAAACCCTAAACCCTAATAACCCTAACCTTAAACCCTAAACCCTAAACGCGGTCAAGCCCAAGCGAAACCCGGAAACTCCAGAGCTCCGAATGAAATATTCAAAGTAGGCCCGAAAGCCTCAAACCCTGAGCCCTAAGTTCCAATTCTAACCTGAAGACCTAAAGCCCCAGACCCCGAAAAAGCCGAGGCCCTGAACCTAAACCCCTAAACCCCAAAAACCTTAAACCTCTAAGCCCTCAACCTTGAACCTTGAAGCCCTCAACCAAGAACCCCAAAGCCCCAAAGCCCTAAACCGCCCCCATAAACCCCTAAAAGCCCCAAAGGCCGGAAAAAAAAAACCGAAAAGTCCCAAAACCCGGAAGCCTCCATGCTCCACGAAGAGCTGCGACATGGTGGCCTTTCCTTTTTGGGAGCCTGGGAGCATCCCCAAGAGCTCACTAAAGGAGGGCTCCTTGGGTGTAGGATGGCTTCCTGGAACCCTAAACCCTAAACCTGAAACCTTTAGACTCTTAGACTAAAGGAGTTTTTGGTGAGTTTTGGGTGAGTTTTTGGGAGCTTGGGGAGTTTAAGGCGTTTAGGGAGTTCAGGGAGCTAGGGGGGCTGAGGATTTAGGGTTTAATTAAGGTCCAGGGAGTTGAGGGAGCTTCGGGAATTTATGGAGTTCAGGGTTGAGGGAATTTAGGATGTAGGGAGTTTATGGTTTAGGGTTTGGGGTTTAGGGTTTAGGATTTAGGGAGTTTATGGTTTAGGGTTTGGGGTTTAGGGTTTAGGATTTAGGGAGTTTATGGTTTAGGGTTCAGGGGGGTTCTTGGGTTTCATACTGCTTGCTACTTACTACTTGCTACATGCTACGAACTACTTACTACCACCACAACCACGGCGACGACTACGACGACTACTACGCCGACGACAGCGACAACTGCGACTACGACTACTACCACTACTGGTGCTGGTACTACCACGGTGCCGATGGTGGGTGATGCAATTGCTGCCAATGACATTCTACATGACTGTGCCCCACACCGACACCCTCAACTTCAAATTCTCAACCCTGACCCTAAACCCCTAAACCCTAAACCCTAAACCCCTAAACCCTAAACCCTAGCCCCTACACCCTACATCCTAAACTCCTAAACCCCAAAATCCTAAACCCCTAAACCCTAAACCCTAAACCTAACCCCTAACCCCCGGACCCTCAGGCCAAAACAACCAGGATCTTCAGGTGGTTACTATTTATGGAGCCCAGTGTGCCCTCGGTCAAGGAATGTCCTTGCAGTTTTTTAGCTCTTCTTACTATGACTTTCGAGATATTCCTGGCAAGGAATGCTAGCCCTGTTTAGTCATGTACTTGGAGGATCATGGGACTTTGTAAGGAAGCTTATAAGTACTCTAATTGTGGTCAGAAGTAAGTGTAACTAGGCTGACCTTACTCTTAACCCCGATGGCTAAGTCCTATGATCCTTCAAGCAGCAGCCTCTGGGGTGCACCAAACTATTCGTTTACTATGATAGAGAACCCGAACTGGTTCCCTTTTCAGTTACTCCGACCCCTAAGGCTACACACACTGGATAAGAAGAGTAGTAACAATCACAATAATGAAATACTACTGGGAGAAGCCACAATAACACTCATCCATATATCAACACGAGTACGAATGCATGCTCATACGAATACCAATGAAATCGCTAATACCACTGCTTGTACTGATACTTCTCCAAATCCGAATACAAATGCTACTCGTACCAAAGCAGTACTCGTACGAACACTGATACTGAAACTCTTACTAGCTCGCATACTGATACGAAGACGAATACACGTACATTTAAGCAATAGTAACCAGAACAGTAATAATAGCAAAAATAATGATAGTCATGAAAACCAACAATCTAACGATAGTCAAACTGACAATAATCATAGTCAACCCAGCAAATCATGATAGTGGTCAAAAATACTACTGATCATAACAAACCCAACAACTCAGAATAATAGACAAACAATAACAGTCAGCATAAACCCAAAACATCATAATTATCATGAAAGCAATTATTCTTATACTAAACCCAACAACTCATAATCGTAGCAACACTCAGCCCGAGAGCCGGGTCTCCTTTGCGTTGTTTTCAGCATGGGCGGTGCGCGCGCCGCTTCCGAAAACTCGAAAGCCCAACTCAACGTCTCGAGCTTGGGGTTTAAGGGCTTGAATCCCTATAAATAGATGGGGATTCCTATAGATTTTGGGCCCTGGATGGGCTATGAGCAGAGCTTAGTATGGGGTTCTGAATCAGGGTTGAGGGTTCGGGGCTAAGGGCTGCGGAGTGCTCATGGATTGAGAGCTTGGGTTTGCAATTCAGCGGTTTAGGGTGAAATACTCCTGGAAGTATCAGCTGGACCTGGGTCCTGAGGACTTCCTCGATCTTAAGCTAGCCTATATGGGTAGTTCGCTAACTTAGGGTCCCTTTTGGGTCCTGCCTATAACGGTGCCGTACTTTTTTGGGGGACCCCAAAAAAGGGACCCTAATTTGGAGAACTACCTAATATGAGCTTCTGGCGGAATGTACCCCGGAACCCTATCCTCGGCACTCTTGTCTTTGGCCTAAGAAGGGTTTAGGGTGCAGGGAAGTGCAGGGCAAATCGCTGTCGAAAATCGTGCAAGGTCCGATGGGCTCGCCTGAAGTGCACACAAACTAAAGCAAGTTAGCATTGTAGTCCCTTCTCAAACACTATAGTTTCTAAATTTGGGGGCTAGACTTGGCAGCGTGGGGACGTGAATGTCGGAAGTCATAGCTGCCTTTGTTAGTTGTAGCAATTTGTTGAGGGGCCTGGCATATGGGTCTAAGGTATGGGTCATCCTGTTGAGTTTCACTGACCCTTTGTCACATCAGGCGCGCAACCTGGAGCAGCACTGTTCAAGACCTTGGAAAATCATGAGTTTCGGAAAACAGGGGACTCCAATATGCGGCCCAAATAACACGATCCCGACATCTTTCATGTTAGAAACCTGGCAAACGGGCCCCTAATTTCAGATACTCCCCAATTTATGTGGCGGCGCGAGTCCGCAGAGCAGGCATTGGACTTGCAGTTTGCGTAACATGGATTTATAAAGGGATCTCAGGAGCCTTCATCGCCTGTAGAACCGGGTTTAGGGTTTAGGGTTTGGGGTTTAGGGTTTTATGTGCTTAATGAAACTTTCGCGTTTTTTCTCAAAATAGAAATAAGAAACACGTAAAACAATAACCCTAGGGTCCTAGCCCTAGTTGGATCTTATAGTACATCAGAGGTATGCTCTGTTATAGTCATAGTACAATACAATTTTAAGTATATATAGTGTTAGTACTACTCGAGTACATTTAATTTAAAAGTATAATAGAATATACAAGAGTTGTGAGGACTGCTTCATGGCACCATAGAGTCTATTGGCTTCATAATTACAGGGCTTAGGGCTTAGAGTTTGTAGGGCCCATGGGACATATAGGGTTTAGGGTTTAGGGTTTGTAGGGTTTAGGCCAGTCTTGCCTGACTGAGTCGACGTGTACAAGACGAGGCAATACAATGCAATGCAGTAGAGTAGAGGATTGGGGAGGGCCGGAGTCAGCAAAAACAAGTCAAAAACAGTGGGGACAAAGTCGGTAAACAGCACAGACGGAAGTCAAAAGCGCGGAGGCGAGTTCAGAAAACACCGCAGCCCGTATCGGAGGCACCGCAGGCCCAAACAGCAAAGGCCATGAGAAAGCTGACCGGCATTTAAATGCAGTTCTGTCTGACGCTTTTTCGAGGCTAGCGAGACGCGACGTGGGCTCCGCCAAGCCGTGACCAAGTCCTGAGAGGAGCGAGGGGCACGCGAGACGGGCTCGACCCAAGCACCGGCACCCCTAGGAAGGCTTCAATCATTCGTTCTTTCTCGCCGCAAGACGAAAAAGCAAGTCCAGACTGAGTGTCAGCTGCACACACGTTGGTTCCCTACGCATGAAGTACTTCAATCACACCACCATGCCTAGCGATCACAGCCCCGCTGAGCTTGAGGCACGACAGCCGCTTCCTGGCAGGCTGGGCAGCAGAACGGCCTTCACGGCCCGCGGGCAGGGCAAAGCGGGGTTGCCGTACTCCGACAGCTGATGCTTGCAAGCATGGCTGCGCACCTGGGCGCCCAATCCCCTTAACCCAGTCCCCAAACCCCAGAATTATCAGGAGTCTGCTGCAGCAGTGCGTCTCTCACATCTGTGCAAAGACATGCCCACCACGGTTCCAGGTGTCGCTCGAAGGGTGACATAGATCACAGCGTTCAGCAACAGGTCATCCGCGCCGACCTGTCAGCAGGTGCTTGGAAAAGGAAATTTGGAATATCCGGCAAGACCTCGAACGAAAAGAATTTTAGAGTGTCTGAGGTACCCACCACGCAGACCAGCTGAATGCTTGAATTACGCAAGCTGGCCTTGAGGCTAGGCAAAGGCTGAACGCTTCCACTCTCTGGCCATGCGTAATAAGCGGAGCCCTGCAGCTGGCACTTCTCGTGCGGTCCAGCACATGCATGAAATTTCCCAGATGCCGGGAGTTGAATCTCGTATCGCAGATTATGCGCCTGGCCTCCGCGCGCCTGGGCTTCCGTGCCGGATGCCAAAGTCTTACCCAGCGAACCAGAAAGGCCTCGAAAAAAGAGTAGAACTCTGCGGCATGCGACGGCTCACCATTCAAAGGCTGCATCTCCCGAGGCTCCGTGGCAAGCGTCAAGCCGTGCCAACTTGCAAAAGATGTCACCAAGAACATATACTCCTCTGTAGATTTCCCACTGTGCTGCCGGCAGCGATCACTGCGATGTTTGCGCAGCCTGAGCTTGAGCAGCACGTACTTCCAGCACACAATGACCCAAGTCCGGCGTGCGT